AAAAAAAAAAGAGTGTTGTAAAGGCAGGAGTATGTATTAATTCCAGTTTTATGAATACTACCATGGACCAGGTGTTGAGATGAGACCCTCAAATTTGGGAATTAAGAGAATTTGGTGACAGAGTGAACAATGGCTTAAGAGGAGGAAAAGGAAGTGTTAAGATGATTCTGAAATTCCAAGTATGGGTGACTCCGAGGCTGTTAATGCTAGACACTAAGCAGAAGCAGGTTTGGAGTGAAATAGGCTTGGTTTTGGACATGCTGTTGACACGACAAAACTGATGTCATATGTTCTATTTCCTAATTCCTCCTAGGGATTGTCCAAGAGCTATTACCCTGACTAATGCTTCATGTTGGAACAATCCCTTGGGGATAAAGTGCCAAAGATACCATTTACATATGACACATATGTTCTTCTGACAACTGGGGAGTTGATCTAAAAGACTGGCTGCTCAAATCATCTTCACCGTACAATGCACACTGAGCACCCACAGGATATCATAGCTTCTGTGCTATGATTCATGCCCTCACAACAGGGTTACGAATTATAAACCACAAACTAAAAAGTAGCCCTCATGCTAAGGGAAAAATCAATTTAACATTCTTCTACCAAATTACTAAAATAATTCAGCATTTGGGGGCAAGGGGTGGATTGGGGCAAAAGTAGTTTCACAAGCCTCTCAGAGACTGTCTATGGTGTGGGATTCAGCCCCGGAAGCAGGGTTGTCCTTCCACCTGAATTATGTGTAAGAACTCACATCCTGGAGCCAGCCTCAGGTTAGACTCCAGCTTCATCATCAGACAGGCAGTGATCTTTGACAAATTACTCAATCTTTTGTGCCTCCTTGAATTCTTTACCTGTAAAGCAGGCACACCTCATGCATTAATCCCACAACCACTAATGAAAACTCCTATCTGCCAGACACTGTGCTAAACACAGGTTTTCACAAACGAGGACCACGACTAATATCCTACTGTAGGGAAACTGACGATATACAAATTACTTTCAGAAAGACTGGTAGTTTAAGAATTCAATGGGTTAATTCAGGGCCCTCAAACTTTTAAACAGGGGGCCAGTTCACTGTCCCTCAGGCAGTTGGAGGGCCGTACTGCGGGCACCGGACGAGTTGGCTGCTAAGCAGGGCAGGCAGCAGAGGCACAAACACCCGGCGGGCCGGATAAATGCCTAGGCGGGCTGCGGGCCATAGTTTGAGGACGCCTGGTTAAATCCTGTGAAGTGTTTAATATGCTAACTTGAGACGGGAAAATCTGAATAAAAGCTAGGTATTATTTTAGAAATCGCCGCTTCCCAGCCCCTACCAAAACTAGGTAAACTCTCAATAAAAGCAAGTTACTAAAGTTAGGCTCTTACAGACAGTTTCTGAGATAACGAGGGTCCTATCTTCCTCCTTGGGGTAACGGCAACTCAAACCCTTTACCTATCACCCCGCCCCATCCCCAGAAACACAGCAGGGGCGGAGTTTCCAACACTGGACAAGTCTCTAAATTCTTCGGCCGAGTTGCCAGGACTGGGGTGGTGAAGTGGACCGCGAGCTAACGTTAACAAAGGGAGTCTCGCCGCCTCAATAAAACCAAGTCCTTCCGATCTTTCCCAAAGCAGTCAAAGAGTTTCCCTACCCCCCGGCACCGGGTGACCCTCGGAAAACAATGGCGCTCCCGAGGGCGGGGCAGCGCGGGCCGGGTGTGGGAGGAGAAGAGCTGTAGTTGGGCGCGGCTCCAGCCACTGGTGAGGTCACGTGACGTCCGCCCCGCCCCTCCCGGGGAACCAGCCGCGGCCCGGAGTGCGCTGGGAGGGGGCGGGGGGGCGGATGGAGCGGGCGGACTAGCGAAGACCGGAAATGACGAAGGGGCGTACTTCGCTGCGTGCAGCGACGTGGCGGCGGGGCCGGCGCCGGGCAGCGGAAGTGGCTCCCGAGCTGGGACTCCAGTGTTTGTGTTTTGGTTCGTGAAGAAGCCTGGGGCTAGCCTGAGGGGAGGAGGCAGAGGAGGGAGGAGGAGGAAGAATTAGCTGGAACTCGAGCGCGGGCGGCGGCGGAGGAGGAGATAAGAGGAAGGCGGAGTGGCGGGAGGCGGAGACGGATCCCGACAGGGGCGGCACCACGGCACGAACCCCGCACAGTCCAGTGTGAGGGGAGAGGCGCGAGGAGGAGACGCCTCCGCTGCCACCGCAATAGACTAACTCCAGGCTTTCGGGCCCCCACGCTGGGCCTTGTTGTCAGGAAGCTTCAGTTCCGCGGCTCAGTTTGCTGCGGCCTCAGGTAACCAACCCGCCCCTCCCCCTGAGCATTGCAGGCCTAGACCCCGGCTTATCCGCGGTCCCCAGCCTGTCCGCGGCCTTGAGCCCCTCGCTCTCCTCCCTCACGCGCACCGGTGGCTGGACCAGAGGGCTATAGAACCCATTGTTTTGTCCTGCCAGCCCTGGTGACTCAGTCTTCAAGAGGCTCTGGAGACCGGGATTTGGGGACTGAGGGAGCGACGGGTGTCACCCTCTTTCCTTCCCAAGATGGCGCCGTGGGAAGAGTACTGGAGGCCGCGGTTCCGCCTGGCCCCTGCCCTGGGTCTGGCGGTCTCGGGGGCGGGGGGCGTCAGGGTCAAAGCCGGCCAGGTTAGGGGACCGAGGATGGCAAGGCCAAGGGGCCTAGCGAGTATTGCTTATTGAGGCAGCACGGAATCGGCTAGCTCAGCTGCTCTTCTAGCAGGAACTGGGCCTACTGCAGGTGCGAATTTAGGGAGCTCCACCTACAACTTTCAAAGACGAGTAATGGAGGGGATGTGAGTCTGTTCAGAATAGGCTGTCTGGAGACTTTTGTTTCATCCGTGGAAGGTAGTGAACTGCAGCTTTAAAGAAATTCAAGGTAACAGAACAGCTCGACTCCTGCAGGGGGTAGAGACCGTGAAACCTGCTCTGGTGGTCTCTTCCTTGGAAATTTATTATCTCTGAGACTTTGAAACCTTTTAAGCTCCGAACGAAGTAGTATACATGCATAGATTTTATCTTTGCTTAAGTAGGATCAAAGCGTTAAATTAGTCGTGTTTTATTTAAGTAATAAAGAAAAAACATGCGTACACCTCTGGAAATACTCAGGTCTGCTAATAAACTTTTTTTATTTAATATATATTTGGACACCATCGCACTTTGTTGCCCCAGGCATGAGTGCCTTGGAGTCAGCCTAGCTCACAACAATTTCAAACTCCAGGATTCAAGCGATCCTCCTGCTTCAGCCTCCGGAGTAGCTGGGACTACAGGCTGCTGCCTTGACGTTAGGCCAACTTTTTCTATTTTTAGTAGAGAGAGGTCTGAGCTCTTGCTCAGGCTAGTCCTGCACTCCTGAGCTCAAAGGATCCAACCACCTGGGTCTCCCAGAGTGCTAGGATTACAGGCATCAGCCAAGGCACCAGGCCATAGGCTTTATTCTTAATGTAAAATAGGGGTAGTATGAACTCCTAGAGGTGTAAGGAAAGTAGAAGGAGCAATGCCTGGCACAAAACAAGTGCCCAGGGAATTTTTTCATCAGAGAGCCCTTAGGACTTCAAGTATAGAATACTAGTTGTTTTCAAAAGAGTAAAAATGTATATTATGCAGAATTCTTTTGCAAAACAAAACAAAGTTTCAGTAAGTAGTGAATACACATAATGAATGCACGTAATTTTTAACCTCAGTGTTATGCTAACCGTATGTTTAAAATTAAATCTAGTTATTTCCTGTTTGAGATTCTTAGGGGGAGTAAATAATTCAATAGCTTAAGCTAAATCAGAATCTTGTTTGTTTTTTTTTTAATGATAGTCTGATGCTTTCCCTGAAATTTTGGAAGTACTGTAGAAATTCAGAGCATATTGTCCTTGATAAGTAATTTGCTGTTTTGTAGATAGGAGACAGTAAATGTTTCAGTTGCTAGTGTGTGTGTAGTATCTCAGGGCGTGGTGGTGCATTTCAGTGATGGTCTATTGATACTTAATCATTATCTCACAAAAGGGCCATTTAATTGCCAATTTTAATACCTTCTATGTGGTGGGTACTATATTAGAGATTATTTACATATATTGTCTCATTTTTCACAGCACCTATGCAAGTTATGGAAATAGAGACTTGGAAATTAAAGCATTTGCCCAGACAGGGAAATTGGCATGGCTAGGATTAAACTACCAAATCTGGTGTGTTTTTGGAAGGGGTGGGAGGGTAGTTTTATTTATAGCCTATTATTTGAAAGCAACTCACATACTATGTCAATTCATCTGTAATATTTCAGTATGTATGAGTAGCTAAAGAACTAGTGTTTAAGGCAAAGAGGTGATTTTATTGCCTTGAAAACTAAGATCTCACAGGTATGTTTAATGAATTCATTATCAAGGGTGTTTTATGTAAACTCAAATTTTATGAGGAAGGCATAGTTCCTATATGAAGTAGCTAAATTTAAATATAGCAGAATGTTTAAGGAGTGAATCAGATTTTATATATTAACATATAATCAGATTTTGATTAAAGATGGAAGCAAACTATTTGGATTGATTTATAAGTAGATTTGAAAAAGGGTTCTTCAAATATTCACTAATTCCTTTGAGACTAAAAATTAGCATTACTTAAAAAATGATGAGAAGACATTGAAGCCACTGTTCGGTCTGTTTTTTCCAAATGTGTTATTAAATAGAAAACAGTGGCATTAATATTGTTAGCCCAAAAATTACCCAAAAAGTTACAATTTACAGTAAATACACTTCAATGAGTCACTAATAATCCTACCACTTAGAGAACATTAGCATTTCTGTGTATGGTGTATTTAATTAAGCAGATGAAGAAACAGTTGTAAGTCTTCAGCCTCTAGGCACACAAACTTGAGCCTTAAAATATTTATAGCTATGTAATTAACCATAAGTTAAATGAAATACAGGTGCAATTTAACAGAAGTTTTTCAAATAACACTAAATGCTAAGATCTGTTCTAAGAGCTTTTCATTTACTTATAACTTAGTTTTCCTCAAAACAATTTTAACCCAAGTTGTTTGGCTCAGAACCTGCACAGTTGGTTCACCTTGTTGTCTGTGTTTGAAACTCACTTCTGTGTCATCTCTGTCACAGTAACTGTGTGACTTCAGGTTCTTTAATCTCTCTGTATCTCTGTTTTCTCATTTACAAGGATTGTAAATGGTACGTAGGATTGTTGAGTAGTTAAGTGCTTAAAGCATTCCTGGTGTAAAGTTGAGGCTTTAATAAAGGTTAGCTTTAAAAAAAACAATGATAAAGGCAACTGAAGGTGTTGGAGGGGAAAAACCCTGGAAATTAGAGTGATTTTAGGCTACTGGTGTCATATAATAATATGTTCTAGGCAAAATAAAGTGATTAATATTAGTTTTGCTTTGTTTACTGATCTGTGTATTTAATTACTTAATTTTTTTTTTCTGTGAGTAAACCTATGAATTATACATATTTGTTTCTTTACAGATTTCTTTACCTCCAGAAAGAAAAAAATTGACCCCTAGCATCCTGGAAGATTATTTAAGAATCTGAAATTAGGGACTTCTTTCAAATTTGGACATGGCTAATCGAGGTGCAACAAGACCCAACGGACCGAATACTGGAAATAAAATATGCCAATTCAAACTAGTACTTCTGGGAGAGTCTGCTGTTGGTAAATCAAGCCTAGTGCTTCGTTTTGTGAAAGGCCAATTTCATGAATTTCAAGAAAGTACCATTGGGGGTGAGATTTTCTTTTTTTCCTGTTTTCATTTAATTAAAACAAAAATTTTCATGTTCTAATTGTGTGACTCTGAATAACATTTTTGTTCAGCATACCTCAGGCTTTAAAACCTATTTTTATTTTTGTTAAAGTGATATCTCTTTACATTTTAATTTCCTGGTTAATCCCCATTGTGGCTGTATTGTAGCAAAAGTACAGATACAAACATGAGTAGACTCAGTGTCCTATATAAGAAGATTTGATCTAGAATATATGTGTTGATAAGTTTCAATTTAATATGTGCTTGTGTTCAATTATGTTTTCTTTAGAATGAATAGTAAAAGATTTAACCTTAAATTCTAATTTTATATAACTATTTTTAAATTAATTTATACCAATGTATAAAATTAATTTTAATTAAATGCTACTGTGATATATATGTAAGAATGCTCCTAGGGTAAGGGAAGAGAAAAAGAGATTGATGGAAAAGGACATAATGGGAAAATGAGACCTGGAGAAAAAGTCGAAGAAGAGGTAGAAAAGTGGTTGTGGTAGGATAGAGATAAGGGGAAGATAAGATGCAGAACAAACAGGAGACAACAGTACAGTGTTTTTGAGAGAAGACTGGGTGAGGTGGAAGGATCCAGGGAGCCTAGGAATTTGAGTCCATAGTCCATCCTGTGAAACATAGTAAGACCCTGTCTCTAAAAATACACACACATGTATTATGTATAGCAGAGGATGAAACAGCTTTTTGGGGGCCTTGTGTTTCATCTGTTAAATTATGCTATTAAATGAGATCTCAGAGGAACCACATGCCTTTAAGATTTATAATATTTTGCAAGTGGCATATAGAGCAGTACTATATTTTCTAAGGTATTCATGAGTATATTTTAACCCCATATTCGTTTTTGTTTTTTTTTTTTTTTTAAGACAGAGTCTCAATTTACTGCTCACAGCAACCAACAACTCCTGGGCTTAGGCGATTCTCTTGCCTCAGCCTCCTGAGTAACTGGGACTACAGGCACCCACCACAATGCCCAGCTATTTTTTTGTTGCAGTTTGGCCAGGGCCAGGTTCACACCTGCCACCCTCGGTATTTGGGGCCGGTGCCCTACCCACTGAGCCACAGGCGCTGCCCACCCCAGACTTTTAAAAAGTCAAATTTTGAAATATATTAAGACATCACAGATAGCCACTGGCAGATGGCAACTTCTTGGAATCCATCTTTTGGGAGCAAAACTTTATATACAGTGCATTTAGTGGGCATTTTTAAGCAAATACACTTGTGAATTTTGTTCATAATCTCAGACCCTTCCAGTAAGATAAATTAAAGAACTCTGTTAACTCCTTTTTCTAAATATGGGAAATATATTAGGGAAATATTATTTCCACTCTAATAGGCTCAGCAGTGTAATGGTGATCACCAGCCTCTTACCTTAGTATATCATGTTATAGTGTTACATTATTTGAATGTTTTGTGTTTTTTATAGTTGCTGAAAATTAGAAAGTAGTCCACAGTATGGAGTTTTTGAGTTGGAAGTCTTGTCATTTACAGTCATTTTAATGTACAGTGTATTATATCTCTAGTGATTTATTTAGTCCAATAATATTTGGTTTAATAATGAAATATTATCTCTTAAGATGGTATAACTTCCTCTAAAGTATAAATGTATTATGGGTTAACTACCTGGGCCAGACAGGTTTGGGACTTGCTATATACTACTCTCCTTCCGCTTCACAGTATATATTTAAATAATAATAACTGAAATACTACAGTACAAAACTTAATTCCTGGGGATCAGGTGTGGTGGCTCATGTCTGTAACCCTGGCACTTTGGGAAGTGGGGAGAATTGTTTGAGGCCAAGAATTCAAAATCAGCTTGAACAACTTAGCAAGACCCCTTCTCTACAAAAAATAACCAAAAAAAATTAGCCAGTCATGGTAGCACATCCCTATAGTCCTAGCTACTGGAGAGGATCACTTGAGCCTGTGTTAATTCTTACTAGATGATTTTTCACTATGCTGACCATATGTTTATTCAGGAGACGTGACAGAAGTACTCATCATGATTATAATTGTGGATACTAATCTTTTAATACTTTTTACTAACATCTCTTCACCTTTAAGAACTAAAAAGCCACGGTGGGAGGATCACTTGAGGTTAGGCGTTCAAGACCCGCCTGACCAAGAATGAGACCCTGTCTGTACAAAAAATAGAAAAATCAGCCAGGTGTGCTAGCTGAGGGAGCTGACTTGGTAAGCTGAGGCAGGAGGATCACGTGAGCCCAGGAGTTTGAGGTTACACTGAGCAATAATGATGCTACTACAGTCTGGCCTAGGCAATAGAGTAAAACCCTGTCTAAAAAGAAGGAACAATAGTAGATTTTAAGCCCTTAAGGATTTCAAGGTTTGAGCTATTTAATGATCAGTCTCAAAGGTTCCATAACGTGGGTGGTATGTATATTTGTTTGGGCTCATGTTTGGTAAAAGTTAACCTAGCAAGTGAACTTGGCCAACTCTTTTGCATTTCAATGGTTTATTTTTTACCTGATGGTTTATGTCTAGAAATACGAGTTATTCTAAAAAATACAAAGATGCCTTCTGTAGTTTACATGGCTCTTTCTAAAAGTAACTTAAGACTCCTTGTTGCCTCTCCATACCTCACGTAACACTCCTGATGTTTTTAGGTGTAATAGGTTTAGCAGTTTGGGGGATTCTAGCTTGTTGTGTAGGGGTTTAAAGTTTGCATGACATCTGTGTTCTTATTGTTTTTCTAAAATTAGCTGAGAGGTTAGTTAGCAAGAAGCTTTGGCTCAGAGGGTTGTCTTCTTGTGATCTCATCTCTAGGCTCAGCAGCTCTTTAGTAAGTATTTGTTGGTTGGTAGGGCTGGCCATTTTTCATTTAACACCCTGAATACCTAAAAAAACTTTAAATATTTCTAGTGAGTTTCTCTTGTCAAAAAATGGCATTTTTTTTTTTTTGAGACAGAGCCTCAAGCTGTCCCCCTGGGTAGCGTGCCGTGGCATTACAGCTCACAGCAACCTCCAACTCCTGGGCTCAAGCGAGTCTCCTGCCTCCGCCTCCCAAGTAGCTGGGACCACAGGCACCCGCCACAACGCCCGGCTATTTTTTGGTTGCAGCCGTCATTGTTGTTTGGAGGGTCCGGGCTGGGGATTCGAACCCGCCACCTTAGGTGTACGTGGCTGGCGCCTTAGCCAGTTGAGCTATAGGCGCCGAGCCAAAAATGGCATTCTTAAGAGGAAACTTATGTGCTATTTATAAGTGAATGAATCTTAAATGCAGGTTAGAATTTACAGTAAATTAGCAAGCAGTCAGATACTACAGTTTTAATTTCGAAAGCACTAATCAAAAAAGAAATGTCTATGGGCCATACTGTTCAGGTGATTGAACTATACATGAAAATATTAACATTCCTGTTACTGGTGCTTTCATTTTTTGAGCTTAAGTTTAGAGGACTGGTTCTCAAAGATTATTCCTTGTTCTAGAAATATCTTCTACATTACCCGGGAACTTGTTAAAATGCAAACTCCCATTTGAACCAAAATACTGGGATGGGGCCAACAATCTAGATTTTAGTAAGTCCTCCAGATGGTTCATCAGAAAGTTTGGTTCATTCTAAAGTTTGACAACCACTGTTATGTGTTGAGAATAGTTGATTCTTGTTTATACTAATATTCTCCCACAAATGGAGGTTTTGCTTTGCTTTTTTTGTAACTTTTTAATATGTGATGCTCACATCATATATCATCTGTATCTTTTAATATGATAGCCCCTTCCTACTACTAATCTGTTAGTCTTCTGCTAGGTATCTTTAAAAGAACATGGCCATTCTTTGTCCCATCAAAAACACTCTGCTTTTGGCTGGGCGCCAGTGGCTCACACCTGTATGTAATCCTAGCACTCTGGGAGGCCAAGGCCAGTGGATTGTCTGAGCTTACAGGTTTGAGACTAGCATGAGCAAGAGCGAGACTCCATCTCTAAAAAAATAGCTGTACCTTGTGGCAGGCATCTATAGTCCCAGCTACTCAGGAGGCTGAGACAAGAGAATAATTTGAGCCCAAGAGTTTGAGGATGCTGTGAGCTGTGACACCACAGCACTATATTTACCAAGGGCAACATATTGAGACTCGGTCTAAAAACAAACAAAAAAGTCTGCTTTTTTTCTACTTAGGGAGTATCCATAGTTTTCAGTGATCTGTGCCAATTTTGTTCTGCTTTACTGACACAAGTAATCAAGGACTGATATATACAAAATTAAAGAAATTAAGTGTCTTTTTCTTAAGCTATTATTAGTGATTATTAACCCTAAGTGAGTGCTGCTTCTGCTTCTGCATTTAACATTCATTTAGTTGGATGGGACAACTAACAAATTATTTTTCCTTTAAAATATCTATAGGCAGCTATAATCCTAGCACTCTGGGAGGCCGAGGCGGGTGGATAGTTTGAGCTCATGAGTTGGAGACCAGCCTGAGCAAAAAGCAAGACCCTGTCTCTACTAAAAATCGAAAAAACTACGGCAAGAGTATCACATGATCCTAAGAGTTGGAGGTTGCTGTGAGCTACGATACCACAACTCTCTATCCAGGGCGATAGCTTGAGACTCTGTCTCAAAAAACAGTCTAATAGGAATTGTTACAATTAAGAAAAAGAAGGCTGCCTGGCACCCGTAGGTCAGTGGGTATGGCACTGGCCACATACACCGAGGTTGGTGGGTTCAAACCCAGCCTAGGCCAGCTAAAACAACAATGACAGCTGCAACAACAACAAAAAATAGCCAGGTGTTGTGGCAGGTACCCGTAGTCCCAGTTACTTGGGAGACTGAGGGAAGAGAATCGCTTAAGTCCAAGAGTTTGAGGTTTCTGTGAGCTGCGATGCCACAGCACTCTACCAAGGGCAACAAAATGAGACTGTCTCTAAAAAAAAATAATAGAAAAGAAAAACAAGGCTTATTTCGCTTGACACAGTATTTTACCTTAACAATTTATGACCAGGTCT